CTGGTGGAGGATGGTGTCATAGACAGACAGAAAAAGCGCCCCCACCTCCCGGGAGGCCACTGCCACAGGAGGAGCCAGGCGTTCCAGGAACACCAGCGACTCCTGAGAAGCCGCGCCCCGCCCATCGAGTCCAGAACACTGAGAAAGAGAGTCCCCAAAGCCCCTCCCCGACTTGTGGGCCTATTTTCTGCCAGCACCCCGCTTGCCCCCTCCTCTGCCCCCAAGACAAGCAGACCAGACCGTTTCTTTCAGGCAAAGGACAGGAATTGCGAGTTTGGGAAGCTCCTTGTAGGCCCCGCACCCACAAGGTGCAGGTTACCTGGGGAGATGAAGAAGGTTCGCCACAGCTTCTTGTCTCGTGTGACGTCCCTGATCTCCTTGGTCATGTTGACCATCCTGCCTGCCACGGGGGGCACTCGGCGGAAGTCCAGGATCCTGGCCAGAAGGCAAGAGACCCTTGAGCCTGGGGTTTGGGCGGCTCCTCCTGACCGGCCGCAGCCAGTGCTGCTCACAGCCTAGACAGGAGGTGATGGCCCCCAGGGGCCCAGGCTGGCAGGGCTTGGGATTCCCAGAGAACAGCAGCATGCCCTTGTTTCTATGCTGAGCCTCAAAGGAAATTTCATTAAAGTATACACTTTGGCCACAGCCTTTCCAAAGGCAGCACACTCACTGCTGTGTGCCCATCATGCCGCGCAGGGTGCCCTGTGCAGCCATTCCTCGCTGGTTTGGTCTCAGACACGCATCGCCCGCTGTCCGCAGCCCCCAGGCCAATGATCGCTGGGGGCTGCATCCCAGAAGCCCCTTCCTTCCCTCCCTGTGCTCGCCCTCCCGCCCCTGCTCCCTCGGTCCTTCCTTCCCAGGACCCACCAGCCTGCCAGCAGCTGTACCCATGTTAAGTGCTGACCTCTGGTGGCAGGGATGGGGGACAGCACCCCCCTTTGCTAGGAGGTAATGGCCAAGAGAGGGGACTTCTGCAGACCAGGTACCCCACTGCCTGGGGGCTCATTTGTCCGGGCCTGGTGGCAGCCACGCAAGCTCTCTAAGGGTGCAGTGAGTGGGGAGAGCCCCCAGGGGCTGTGTCACACTCCCGAGCGGGATGTTTATGCCCACGGCTGCTGATGAGGTCGGCAAGAACAGCTTTTTGAAAACATGGCCAATACCGTGAGGAGGCCCAGCGGGCACAGACGTGGGGTGAGCCCGCGCTGTTGGAAAAGTGGTCCCAATGGACTTGCTTCCCTCTGGGTGCCCCCCACCTTCCATCTGCTATAAAACCAAAACAACACAATAGTTTCAAAGCACAGCGAAGTGACAAGCAGTAAGATGAGCCACGCCTGGGTGCTCACCTGGAAAAGTCCCTGGACAGAGTGGCTATTGTGGATCCCATGCGGTTGCTGCTACTGTTGTTACATACAAGGGGGCCCCAGTGTGGCTGCTTATAATTTATCCAGAGTCGGTGTCACAGTGTACCCAGTGTTGTTACAGTGTAGCCAATGATGTTACAAGGTATCCCCACATCTGGGTAGGCTCAGGTCTCCCCAGAAAACCCAGAACAACCTGGAGCCTACAAGGCTCCCCTGGAAGTTGGGGTGGGGGGTGGGGGTGGGGACTCACCTGTCCAGGTGGAAGGCTGCTATCTCAGCATTGTGCCTCTCGTAGTCAGAGAAATAAAAGAAGTCGGGGGGTGTCTCCTGCTCCCTTGTTTGTCTGGAAGAGGCAGGACAGAACAGACAGCATTTAGCGCTGGTAACACTTGGCCACACAGGAGGGCCTGGGCCTGGAAGCCTGTGGGTCCCAGAGTCCTGGGAGCTGGTTGCTTAACCGTCATCGTCAACGAAGCAGTGCCCACTCACCAAGAAATTGAGCCCGCCTGACTGTCCCTCTCGGCCTGAGCAGTGACTCTGCTCCTGGTGCACACTGGGGCATTTCTGGCCATGCAACACTTGGCAGCTCACCTCACCCAAGGCCAAGCTCGGGACAAGGGGCCTTTCCAGGCCCCGGGAAGCACAAAGCTTTGACCTGGATCTGGAAATGTCAACCTCTAGTTGCCTGACGCTGAGCCCGTGTGCTGGTGGTCTAGCACGACAGGGAAGCCCATGCCCAGGCCACACCATGGGCGCCACAAGAAGGAAGCCCAGTCTAGGAGAAGCATGGCCGATGCTCCCAGAGCGAGATGGATGGGACTTGGTCTCATGAACACGGGCAAACTGACAGGAGAAACCAGACCCGGAGAAGGACGTCGTGCTCGGTGAACTCGGAGGGGCAGCGGAAGGAGGAAGGCCCTCCAGCAGATGGAGGGAAACGGTAGCTGCAGCTATGGGCTCAGACACAGGAACTCCCGTGAGGCTGGCGTGGGATGGGGCAGGGTTTCCATCTGTTGTGCAGGGGCATGATGAGGCAGAACCAAGTCAACAGAAGAACGCTTCACTGCAGGTGGGGGCCAAGCCAGGCCCAGAGTGGTTCAGCCCTCAACCTGTGCAGAACACACTGCAGAATGGGTGTGTGGGCTATCCGGGCTCGGACCACACCCAGGTGAGAAGGGAGACTCCCGTGATCCAGCCCAAACCTTCCACTCACGCCATCCTGGTCCAGGCTTGAGTGCTCCCTGTGATGGGAGACTCACTCCCTTTCCCCAGCCCCGTTTTCCCCACCATGTGCGCCCCCTCCCCAGTGGAACCTTCCTTCCAGAGCTCCTGTGAGCACAGCCCCCTCCTCAGGCCCTGGACCACCCCCAGATGTGGAGACTGCCTCAGAGGCATTGGTGGGACCAGCAGGAGAGTGGACCAGCCTGGGTCCCCTTCCTCCTGGGAGTCCCCAGAAAGCCAGGGGACAGCAAGTGCTGCAGAAAGTCAGTCTTCTACGCAGGGGGTGGGCTCTCAGAAGCCCTCTAGAATACACAGATGCACACACCCATACACATGCATGCACACATTCACACACACACAATACACACATGCATGCACATGCATTCACATGTGCACACTCAAGCACATAGACACACACGTGTACATGCACAAATATTCAAATATTTGCTCACATTCACACACCTCCTCACATTCTTCCACACAGTCACTCACTCACGCTCGTTCCCACACTTGAGCCCATGCATGTGCCCAGGCACAGAGCCATCAGAGGGCTCCCAGAGGGGTGGGCACAAGGACTGGCTCTGTGGGCAGGCCACCCAGTGCTGGACCCGATGCACGTCCCAGGCAGGAAGTGAGCTGGACGCAAACCCAGGAAGCCACTGGGGTCAGCCCAGGGCAATCCCCCATCCTCCACCTTCCCCCTCCCCACAGCCTACAGGCCCTTTCATGGGGTCACAAACCCCAGACTGACTCTCCGGGCCCCCCACCCCACCCCCCCACCCCCCATGCTGTGTCCTACAGTGTGGCCAGAACCCAGGCCCTTCCATCTGTGTGTGTGCCCCACACCTGTCCCAGCCACGGGGTCTCTGACAAAAGCCAGCTCCGCTCTCCCTCTGTGGATCATGGCCGGTTGGGCCACACTGGGCCCCATTGTTCATTCAACTGGAAGTACCTAGAGCCGGGAGCATCCTGGCCTCCGGACCCCAGATCCTGGCCGAGTGCTTGGCTTCAGACAGCTAATTAATAGGAATGACGCAGGGGTTGGTGGTGGACAGATGCAGAGAGGGGGATGGGGAGGGACATGCAGCCTGGAGCCCTGCTCACCCTCACGTCTTCACTGTCCATCTTCACCAACACCTGCACAAAGTACCACCCCACCACCCACCCCAGCACACACGAACCCCGCTGGAACCTCCCTCATCCCCTTACTGCCCCCATCACATCACCATCATCCTCTCCACCCCCTCCATGACCAACTCGGTCCCCTCCACCATCATCCCCTCCATGACCACCTCCGTCCCCTCCACCACCAGCTCCACCATGACCACCTCCGTCCCCTCCATGACCACCTCCGTCCCCTCCACCACCAGCTCCACCTCCACCACTGTTGCTCACTTGCACTGAAAGCTCACGGCCTGACATGCAGCACCCATGTGGGTGGTGTTTTAACAAGTGAGCATTTCTATTTGCCAGTAAGCTTGCCTTTGTGTCTCTGGCCTCCTCCTGTGCCAACCCTCAGAACAGGCCTGCAGCTCGGACAAAGGTTCCGTCTGGTTCCCTGTGGCCCAGCCTGGCCTCGCCACATGCCTCAGGGCTTCCTGTTGACCTTCCTCCCAGGCGGCCCTACCTGGCTCAGCCTGAACCCGGCGTCCAGCCACCCTCCTGAATGCAGACCAGCCTGTGGGTTTCTTGGAACATTTCGTGAAGCTAGACGCCCAGCGATGGGATAATACTGGAACCTGTGTGCCCAGCGGCCTTCCGCATGCCCCAAGGGGTTCCAGACATGCTCAGAGATTGCACCCGACACACAGGGCCTCCCCTCCCCCCTGACACCAAGCGTTGGACCAAGGGTCCAACGATGCTGGCTGGCCTCACCTGCCAAGGCCATCCCTGCTGCCTAGCTGTGTGGTGTTTGATGGGCAGGCCTGGGGGCGGGGGTGGGGGTGGGGGCGTTGTCAGGAGTCTTTTCAGATTTTGAACAGGTGACACAATGGCAGGAAGGTGCTGTTCCACATGAGGAGTCCCTCAGAGCACAAAGGGTTAAGGACCTACTCAACTACTACTGCCTGTGGGGGGCCACCCACTGGCACCTCGGGGCAACCCTGGAGACCCCCAGGGGCCGGCCTCCTCTGTCACCCAGGGTCCACCCGGCAGCGGCAGCCTCCCCTGCTGGGGACTCGGGACATGCCAGGTGAGTTCGGGCCACTGTCCCAGCCACCAGGGCTGAACTGGGCCCTCTGTGGCAGCCCATGGGGACGGCACCCGTTGCTATCCGTCTAAACACCACCCTCGACCTTTAAGAAACTTCCGAAGAGGAGGCAGACACTTGGCCACGGGGTGAGGGGCGCGACAGGGCCAGCTGGTGTGCAGTGGACTGGGGGGCTGGGGCAGAGCCCTGGACCTCCTGACCTTGGCCTCCTTGCTGTAAAATGGGGACCAGTCTCTCCAACTGCCAGCCACCAAACAAGGCCCTATGCCTCCCTCCTCTCCTCGCACCCACCCAGTACCCACAGAGTGGACCAGAGTAGGTCCAGCGGTGGGGGACCCATAGTGGCCTGCCAGGTTGGGCACGATGGTCTTGCTGTTGGACTATTTGTGGAAATTCCCAGATCGAGAGAACCGGGCTCTGCTGTGGAGGAATGAGACTCGAGGGTCCCTGGACAGAGCCCCTGCCACCTCGGGGACCTACCCCTCAGGGGAGGTAGGTGGGGCAGGAACCTGCCTGTGGGCTCTCACCCTGAGGGGCAGTCTGCAACCCAGGTGCCCACACCTCCTGGCCTGTCCTGAACAGAAGGTCCAAGGCTGACTGCAGAGGGCACTCTGGAAAAGTACTGAGCTGGCAGCACCCATGGGGCCTAAGCCCCTGACCCGGACACCTGGCCGTCCTCCAAGGTGTCAGGCCCAGGTGCACCAGGTCTACCTGCCCCGGGCACAGGGCAGGGCCAGTTTCTGTCTGCCCTGGAGGGAGGGCCACGGAAGTGGGAAGTGCGGGCAGGAGATGTAATCTGACTGCTGGGGGGTGGGGTGGGGGTGGGTGGTACAGGTCAGTCAGTCTGACCCTGAGCGAGTCCTGGAACAGGCCTCGTGGGCCGTGCAGGTGACTGTCTGTGTGGTCAGCACCACAGAGAGAGAGGCCAAGGGGCCTGGGGACCACAGCCTCCCTCCGTCTGCTTGGTCATCCTGCCTCACACTGGCACCACGCCCCCCTAACCCCTCACCCGAACCTGCAACTTTGCCTCCAAACCACCCAGGAGCAGGGGCTCAGAGCAGAGACCTGGTGTGTGTGTATGTGGGTGTGTGTGGGGGAGCAGATCTTTGGAAGGATACTCTGGGGAGGGGGCTCTGTGAAGGGGGCTTTGGGAGGGGGTGCTGGAGTGGAGGTCCCAGGGCGGGGTCTGGGAGGGGCCCTGGGTTCTGTAGTGGTGGGGGGTGAAAGAGAAAGTGTACAAATAGGGAAACACAGACGCATGGATGGAAGCAGGCGGCCCCACCAGGCCCACCACGGGACATTTTCCTGCTCCCCACATGCCCCCGAGTGTGGGCTGGCTGACCAAGGTTGTGGGTGCAGGTGACTCAGCTGGTACCTGAATGGGCTTAGGCCTGGAAGAGCCCAGGTGGGCCTGAGCATGAGTCTGTGTGGGTGCACTCGGCTCCCCTTCCCTTGGACCCCACCAGGCACACTGACCACCCACACTGCTGCCCAGCTCACCGAGGCACCCCTCTCTGGAAGCCAGGAGCTTCCCTGGAGGGGCCCCCACCCATGCAGGGAGCAGCCGGCATTTGGAACGCCCCCCCTCCCCCCAGGACAGGGCCTCTGGGGCCACACCTGGCCTGAGTCCTGGGCAACTTCAGCTCCATCCAGCCTGCCCTCCAGCTCAGAAAACTCCAGCTGAGAGGTCCAGGTGCCAACCAGCCCAGCCTTCCCACAGTTCACTCGGTGGTGTGGGGGCACCCCCACACTGAGTGTTCTAGAACCTTCTTACTCTCTCATGAAGACTGAATGGGGCCTGTCTCCCAGCCCCTTGGATGGGTAAACCTGGGCCCCAGGGTTGCTGCAGGAGACTCAGGAGCCCTCTGGGGAGGGGATTCCCAGTCCTTGGTGATTCCGATGTGTCCAGTTCT